CAGTGATGAGGTCAAAATGCTCATATGATCGAGGGCTTTTCGATGGATCTATCGGCGGGTTCTTACTCGAAAAATCGAGCGAGTTCGTGGTGGAGCAGTGTCAGTCAGTATTTGTCAGCACTGCAGTGATATGATCTTGATGAGAATACTACTATGAATATGCAACATTTCTGAAAAGAATACAATCTTTAGTTATATAATTATATATGATCTGCAATTGCTCTGCAGATCAAGACTCATTTCACTATACTTAAGAAGTTCAAATTATCAGCTTATACTCTACAAACTATTATAGAGAATCACTTTTCTGAGAGACCTGCTGTACACAGAACTTGTTTATTTGAAGAGCTTATTAAAATAATCTTCAAAAGCAAAGAATCTGACAGAGCTTTCATTGAATAATTAATTATTATCAGAACTGATTATATTCATCTGAAATATAAGATTGAAGATGTCATGTTTTTTGATAGATTACTGACAGAAGTCAATAGAGGTTGAGCATTCTTCATAAAGAATAGAATGAACCAGATTGATAAAGACAATTCAAGACCTTTAGAAGAAGACTTTATGAGATTATACTGTGACATACTTCTACACCTTTCTACTGTGAAAAATAGTAGTATTGAATTCATGAAAAATTCTGTAAATAACACTCAAGACAAGGATAAGAAAGACAAGAACAATGACAATGATAAGAATAAGAACACTGAATTCAAACCTGAATATAGAGATAATGATGCGAGAATCTGCTATCATTATCAAAAGATTGATTATATTCAGACTGACTGTTGAAAGAAATACTCTGAGAAATGTTCTTCAAACTTCAATATCAATAGAAACAAGAATAAAGATAAGAATGTAAAAATACAGATGCTGCTTCTGTTCACAATATTATAAAGTAAGTATTTTGCATCAAAGAAAAGATCTATACAAGTAGTCAGATAGAAAAAGATATCTGATCTAGACTCTGAATCAGCACTCACATCACATCTCACAGAGATCTTGTCATGACAAAATCTCAGAAGATGAAAGTGATATTGAAAATAATAGACAGAACAGTAGTTCTCACTGCAGCTATAGAAGATATAAAGATTTCAGTGAAAGAGATGAATATACTGTTAAATAATGTCTGCTATGTCCTGAAGTTAGAAGTGAACCTCATGAGTATGAATAAGCTTGTATATCAGAGTTATACCTATAAGCAGTTGATATATGAGAATAATCATACTATATTAATTATGTCTTCTGATCACATGTTCTCATTTACAGCAAGATTAAATAAGAATGATATCTATGAGATGAAAAGACTGATTATATACAGAGACTTGATTCAGTTTACTATACTCAATGATGATTTTGAATCTGTGAATACATTACAGATGAAAGATGACACAATATTGATACTATCTGACAGAAATGATACAAAGATTATAGAACTTACAATAATACAATGATATTAAAAGCTAGAACATCTCAATCTCATGAATATCACTAAATTAGCAGCAGATTCATGACTAGAAATGAGAATTAAGAGTGACAGAGCTTTGTCATTCTGTAAAACCTGTGTACAGGTAAAAATGACATGTTCAATATTCATATCAATGATAAGAACTATCAAATCTGCAATGAGATTCTTTATAAATCTTGCAGATAACAGCTGTACACTATATAATAAAGTCAATCTCTCTACTCAGAGAGAAGCTAATTATTGAATGAGTATTATAAATAATACTACACATTACAGATGAATTATTCTTATGATGTTAAAGAATGAGATTACTGTGTGTTTGATGACCTTTATTGATAAAATTGAGACCACTACTCAACATTGAATTGAGACTTTACACTGAGATGATGAAGATGAATTTAAAAGTGATGAATTAAAGATCTACTATCAGTAGAAAGAAATTACATATGAGATCACTATATCTGATACACTGCAGTTCAATGACTCTGCAGAATGTGTCAATTATATTGTAGATAAAAAGACAAGAAGCTTACTATTTAATAGCAGACTTATAAGAGAGCTTTGAGATGAAGCTATTCAAGCTACAGTCATGATAATCAACACATTCTCAACATCAATGAAGATATTTGAATGTAAGAAAGAAATATCACTTACATCTTTTAAAGCTTAAACTGAGATGCAATCTTCTGTTCATTGAATACAGAGATAAGAGTGCAAGGTCTATAAGAAGAATTTAAAAGTATTGAATAAGCTTATAAATAGAACTGACAGTAAGAAATGACAGCTGATTGAATATCAAGAATTATATCAATATTATGTGTGAGATTCTGTTGTATGTTATCTTGAGATTGTATAAGATATCATATTTGATGAAGCTCTTGACATGAGTGCAAATACACCTGTAAATACAGTGAGAGACTTCAATGAATTATCTAACAAATTGAATATTCTGAATATCAGAGAAGGATGACAGCACTACTTACTATAATATCTAGTGAAGGAAAAGTCAGATATTTTGAAGATAATTATTAATAAGAACTGAGAGAATGTAATTAATTCAATCTATCTTCTAGATAATGAGACACAGCTTGTCATGAATGAAGAGTCTGAAGACTCTGTTAATAAGAATAATTCTATTCTAAGTATTCTGACAGACTGATCAACTACACTGATAGAAGCTAAGAGAAGCTCAGACTGAGACTATTGATATAAGACAATGAAAAAGAAGATTAAGATATTTGAATAGAAGAAGATATATATTATTGCTAAGAAGACTCTGAAAATGAATATTCTTACAGATAAATGAATATATAATCAGAAATTCAATAATAAGAGAGAAATCATCTACTTTAGAGCTCACTGAGTGATTAGAAGATTCTTATAATAGCAGAGTATTCATTATATAAGATTATATACTGCAGTGATATCAGAGTCTATATTATACAGTCTATTCACTATATCAACTGCTAAAGAATAAAAGATTAAATTAATTAACTATATATTCATATTTTTGAATAACATACTATCACAGAATGAGATGATCTATATATAACTACTCACAGATGTTAAGCACAGTAGAGAGAACTTAATGAGACTACTCTATCAGAGTCTATATAAAATGAAACAAGTTATAAAAGTATGATATTTTCTAGCAATGAAACATCTTATCATATTAAGATTTAAAATATCATTTTATGATAATGAATTTTTATATCATTCTATTCATAAGATCTATCTGATATTACTATTATTATTATTATTATTATTATTATTATTATTCTTTCATTATACTTATATGCAAGCGGAGCTTATGATGAGTCCTTGCGTGATGTTAAATCCAGATCAAGTGTTGATTATACAGGAGGAAATACAGGTGTTGAGATCACACCAAGATAACAAGAACATAGAAAAATACAAAGGAGTGACAATTAGATACATGCAATAATAACTTCCCAGCCCAGGAACATAGAGTGATTCATTGAAGTGATTTGTACACCTCTGTATTTATTAGAAACCTGAGGTGCTTGAGTTCTGGATTTAATGTATCCCCTGCGGGTTTCGAACCCACGCGCCTTGGTTTCCCACACCAAGGCGCTACCAGGTGGCCGCATTAATCATTCGGCCACCGGGGCTATCTGATATTACATATCAATGATTGTCAAATAATAGAATCTCAAGAACAGTAATTAGACTGAGTATTAAGAAAGATTATAAAGAGATTTAAGACAAAGAATATTAAAGAGATTAAGTTATATCTTAAAATAAAGATTAAATATCAGAGAAATGATGATCTAGTAATTACACAGAGCTGTTATATTAAGAAGATTCTTAAAGATTTTAATATGAATAAGATGAATTCTGCAGAGATTTCAATAATAACAGATATATAACTGAAATTTTTATCTGATGAGAATGATGAATTGAATAATAACTTTATAACTATAAGATATTATCAAGAATTGAGATTATTACAGTATTTAATCTTAAGTAACTAATTAGATCTGATGTTTACAGTTAACTATCTCTTGCATTTTAACTCATGTTTATACAAAATATATTGAGCAGTGTTGAAGCATATTCTACATTATATCAAGAAGATGAAAAATCATGATATATTACACAGAAAGAAGATCAGTGATAAGAATCTAAGTTCTGTAGTATACTGCAATTCAGACTGAGCAGAAGCAGATTCTCAATACAAATCAACTACTAATTATATTATATTGATTAATAAGTCACTGATCTTATAGCAGTTGCAGAGACAGATATATATTATTAAATTAATCACAGAAGCTGAATATATTGCAGCTAGTGAGACAGCTTATAAGATAATCTGATTGAATAATATATTATATAACATCAGATTAATGAATAATGAAAAAGTGAAAATATACTTATATTTATGAGTTGATAATAAGAGAGCAATCAATCTAGCAAAGAGAAAATCCTTAATATAAAGATTATATTATATTGAGATTAAATATCATATTCTCTGTAATTTGATTAAAAAAGAAGAAATCATGATAAAATATATTAGTTCTACAGTGAACATAGCTGACAGTCTCATCAAGTTACTGATAAAGCCTGCATTTGAAGATTTTATCAAAAGAATTGACATTCAGAAAATTAAGAAGAAGGAATAATTAAATGATAATGATGATACAGCAGATCAATGAATTTTGTATATATTTCTTGATTTTTACAGTTATTGCTGTACAGATGCCTTTTCTAATGAGGAAATCAGGGTCTGATTGATGTAATTAATTATTATTGCATTTTTGAAAGATTTGAGGATGGGGAAGGCCCCGGGTGGCAGCTTATAGACCACAGTGTAGCAAGGGGGGGTGTTGGTGATTACTACACCTACCCTAGTCACGTGCCACCCCAACCTATTTAGTGTAACTCGCGTAGTTAGATTACAACACAACAACGTTATCCTCCAAGAGGTCTGAGCCCGCTGAGATAATACAAAGAGCTTAATATAGTGGTGGGTCACGTGATATCGGGAGATCGCTAACCGCAACGGCCGCATCTACCAACAACAAGGTCTTTAAACCTTGGAAGGGCTAGAAGAACCAACCGTAGCAATCGGCCGACGATATGAGTGGGTTTCCTGAAGTTGACCGAAAGAGGTGGTTGGCAAACAGCGCTAGCCACTTAGGTAAATAAGCTCCTGCCAACCCCAGTTCCGATATCGCCAGGGAACCAAGAGGGAAAAAAAAAGCTTCCAGTCACCTCCGCTGAGGGGCGCCATTTCACCTCCAAACAATCCGAAAGCGAGGATTCAACCATAGCACTAAACAGTCTAAAGGATCAAACCCACTCAATTGCTGACTAGCAAGAGGAGAAGAGACTCCCGTGTTTCCAAACATGGCAGAAGCGCCCTTAACAAATGGCTGTAGCTCACCACTCACTCCCAGGCTGAACTCTTTCTCGCTGACTGAATACTCCGCAAATCCTTCCCCGCCTAGTGAGAGGCATGGTCTGCCTCCTGACTGGGAGATTCCAGAGGCTTTTCTACTGCCAAATGGATATCCAGATGTATGCGCTCCTTTCCAGTCAAAAATATAAGCAAGCTATCGTCCAAAATCTTACAGTTTTCGTTCATATCTAGTACTTGCGGTTGATTCTGACCTCTCGCGTGTACGATGTTGTCAAAGAAACACCCTTAACACACGCTGTGAATATGAGCAACCGATTGGAATGCAAAGTCTTTTTGAAACGAGAGGATTTGCTTCCCGTCTTTAGCTTCAAACTTCGAGGTGCCTATAACAAGATGGCTCATTTGAGTCCAGAGAGAATGTGGAAGGGTGTTATTGCGTGTTCCGCAGGTAAGGTTGCTACTAGCATCTTCTATTTATTTATTTGTTTACTTTTTCTGTGTGTGTGTGTGCTGTTTCTGTCCTCCTTACTCACTCGACTAGGAAACCATGCCCAGGGTGTTGCGTACTCTGCACGAACATTAAAGATCCCCGCTACCATCGTGATGCCCCAAGGCACCCCTGCTATCAAGCACCGAAATGTCGCTCGATTAGGTGGCACGGTTGTATTGCATGGACGTGATTTCGACGCAGCAAAGCAGGAAGCTGCCAGACTTTCCAAACTACACGATCTTACGAATATCCCCCCCTTTGATGACCCGTATGTCATTGCTGGCCAAGGCACCTGCGGGATGGAGCTACTGCGCCAATGCAATATACAGAATATCGAAGCGGTGTTTTGCTGTGTAGGTGGCGGGGGATTAATTGCCGGCATTGGAGTTTATCTCAAGAGAATTGCACCACACGTCAAGATCATCGGTGTAGAAACGCACGATGCGAACGCAATGGCTCAGTCCCTCGTGAACGGCGAGAGGGTTACTTTGGGTGAAGTTGGGTTATTTGCAGACGGTGCGGCCGTGCGGGCCGTAGGCAAAGAAACTTTCCGGTTATGCAGAGAGGTGGTCGATGATATTATCCAGGTGTCGACCGACGAGGCATGCGCGGCGATCAAGGACATTTTTGAGGATACAAGATCAGTAGTGGAGCCGGCCGGCGCCCTCGCACTTGCCGGTCTGAAGAAATATGTCGCGATGAATCCATCCCCTGATCCCAATCGAGAGCTTGTGGCGGTAACTTCCGGAGCGAATATGAATTTCGACAGGCTCCGTTTTGTAGCTGAGCGTGCTACGTTGGGTGAGAGGAAAGAGGCTTTACTGAGCGTCACCATCCCTGAGCGCCCAGGCTCGTTCGCGAAGCTCGTGGAAACCGTGACTCCGCATGATGTTACTGAGTTCAGCTACCGCTACTCCAACAGCGAATCTGCGGTGGTGTTCATGGGAATATCACTATCCACCTCGACAGGAACAGAGGATTTGGGTCTAATAGTAAACCAATTATTGCAGGGTGGGATGATAGCGCAGGATCTAAGCGATAATGAGCTTGCAAAGACGCATATCCGATATCTTGCCGGTGGACGAAGTAACGTCGTCGACGAAAGACTCTTCATGTTTGAATTCCCCGAACGCCCCGGAGCGCTAGTGAAGTTCCTCACCACCCTCCGGCCACACCAGAATATCTCATTGTTCCACTATCGTAATTACGGGAGTGACGTGGCTAAGGTCCTTGCGGGGATTCAGTGCCCAGCCACGGAGAAGACAGAGCTTGAGGGGTTCCTATACGATTTGGGTTACCCATTCACGGAGTGCACGGATTCGCCGGTTTACAAGATGTTTTTGCGAGAGTAATTGGTTTTTAGTTGCTTCGTTTGTCATGGAGATTCCCCCCAGTCCTTTTTCAAAAAAATTGCAGTTGTGGTTTTCATCCCTTGTGTCCGGATTTCACATACTTTTATTACTATGATGCTGGCGCTTTATTAGTTTAGAAAGAGGGCGGAAGGCGTTTGAAGATTTTTAGCTTTTATTGAACTCTAATCTATTGATTTACTCAGCTTCACATTAACTAGGTTTAGATAAAAAGAATCGATGGCACATGCACATGTACATGCGGGAATCAGCTGTAGCGTGAAGAGATCTCTTTTTCATAGTTTCTTCCATTGCCAAACCCATTTCAAAACAGGCCCTCGTCGCGACCGGATAAACTAAATTCCGGCTGAGTTCCCTCTCCAACGAGCATTGGGGGAATTCATCAAATCGCGGAGATGAAATAGAAACCTCCACGTAGGAACCGAACTCCTCAATCCGATGCTTGACCAGTTAAAAAAAAAAGCAAAAAGGGATCATGAATTAACCATCCATCTCATACATCCCTAAACGAGCCCACCTTCTCCCCGCCTTCAAGCCTAGTCCCTCCTCTCGATCAATCCCACCACCAACACCTTCACCACAAGCAAAAGGGCGACTGACCGCCAATTGTCCGGCGCAGACCGTACACACATAGAAAATGACCAACTTCCGCTCCCTCCTCTCCTCCTCCCCTCTCTCTCCTCTCATCTCCCTCCGAACACTCACCACCCCATTCACGCGCAAAATACGCTGCACCATGTCTTCCCGTTCCATCTGGTCCTTATCCGGCAGCAGCGGCAGACCCTCCACAATCGCTAGCCAAATGCCATGGAGCCGTATCAGCCTATTTGCAAAACTGGGCGCCGCCGTTTCGAGTAACGCGGTGAAGAGTGTTGCTAAAAATGTTGGGAATGCGAATGGTGTGGGACAGGTTCGGGGCATGAAGACGAGATCGTCTGTGAAGAGGCTTTGTGATGGATGCAAGCCTGTCAGAAAAAAAGAATCGGGTTTATATTATTTGGTAGGTTTTTATTGGTGGCGTGTTGAGGTGTTGATGGGGGGATTTTTCCCCCTTCCTCCCCTTTTTTGGATTCCCCTTCATTATTAATTCTAGTTACTGATTGTTTGCTTGCAGTCTAAGAAATCCCAAACATAAACAGCGCAGGGAAATAGTCGTACTGGTTAGGTTATGGCATACCCGTGGGGATATTTTAACTTGCGTACGCCGGTATTGGGGCTTATAAAGAAGAGTCTTTCGGGTCATCGTCCATCCTTTATCCCTTCCCCAGCAAGCCGCGAAATCCTGGTTTTTTTTTTTTTTTTTTTTTTTTTTTTTTTTTTTTTTTTTAGTTCGTTTTCCGTTTACATGTTCGGGACTTGAAAAAGATGTTTAGACCTGGCTACTCCATGGAGTTTTTTTTATTGATGTATTATATCATTAAATGAATGTACTATATATATGTGCCCAACCACTCCTTTCAAACGTGCCCCTGCTATATTTGCTTCCCCCATCAAATCTCTGCTGTGCAGGGGCTAGGCTCTATCTTACAATTTCGCATATTATATGTGACCTAACAATTATCGGATGCAGGGCTGTGGGACTTCAGCTGGGTTTTCCGCTTCTTGAGCTTCCCCCGAGCTTGTGCGCAGAGGCATTCTATCTTGGCGACTCAAGACCTGACAATGGAAATTAACAACTACTTTCTTGTGGAGCAAAGCGGACCCCATCCATAACACTGCCACACAATTTCTGCGATATGTTTGACTCTGGCGCTGAAAACGAGCAACACTGATTCCTGTCTTCTGCATTTCTCCCCGCACCAACATGCTTGTGGCATTTGCCAAAATCGTCTTCCTCGTCGAATGATGATTCTTCTAATCTATACTACCTGTAAAAGTCTTTATATTGTATATACTACACAAATCGAATTGTCAATAGATTTCAGTAGGATTTTACATGCATTGCTATCATCATCTCTGAAATTTGGGTTTGGGCTCAAGAGGAACGGGTTAGCTCCTTAGTCAGCACAAATTTTTCAAAAAACTCCGGCCGAAAAAAGTTCTCGAGACTCCCGGATAGGGGTGTCGTTTCTCTCCAAGACGAATGTCAAGGCCATCGTCACAATGAGGGCTCACTCTCTTCTTCGGACTCAAGTTCGCTCCCTCACCAGGGTTTCTAGAGCTTCAACTGGACTCCAATGTGACCTCTATCGACGATGCGCTACAACTACTCCTCTCCGAACCTTCACCACAGCTTCCCTACCCAGAGTCCCAGTGACAGGGCGGTGGCAGCAGGTCCGATATGCCTCTACGGCGGCTTCTGTGTAAGACAATTCTATTTTAATAATTTGTCAGAAAGACAAAAAAGAAATGTGATCTGGTTGGAAATGTTAACGCTTTGGCGTGTGTCGCTCTAGGTTGGAACGTGCCGCGGCAGACCCAGCTACACTCACTCAATCTGCCATCATTGAAAATATGGACGAAGCAGAAATGAAACGGTTGTCGAAAGTCCGAAATATTGGAATTGCGGTATGGCACCTTTATATGGACCCTTTTTCTGCGAACGTAGCAATTGTACCATGAGATACTGATCTTGTCCATACAGGCGCATATCGACAGCGGTAAAACAACCTCGACAGAGCGAATTCTTTTCTATACCGGGCGTATTGGAGAAATTCACGAAGTCCGCGGGCGGGATTCCGTCGGTGCTAAAATGGACTCGATGGACCTGGAGCGTGAGAAAGGAATCACAATTCAGTCCGCAGCTACCTTTTGCGACTGGGTCAAGAAAGAAAACGGAAAAGAAGAAAAATATCATATCAACTTGATTGATACACCTGGCCATATTGATTTCACTATCGAGGTTGAGAGAGCCTTGCGTGTTTTGGATGGCGCAGTTTTAATTGCCTGTGCAGTCTCTGGTGTTCAGTCGCAGACTATGACCGTCGACCGACAAATGAGACGCTACAATGTTCCGCGCATTTCTTTCGTCAATAAAATGGACAGAATGGGTGCCAATCCTTTCAGGACGATTGAACAAATTAACCAGAAGCTGAAGATCGCTGCTGCGGCCGTTCAAGTGCCAATTGGCGCTGAGGATGAATTCGAGGGTGTAGTGGATTTGATTCGCATGAAGGCTATCTATAACGAGGGCTCCAAGGGTGAAATTGTTGTAGAAAAGGATGAAATTCCAGAGAAAGTAAAGGCCATCGCGGAAGAGCGGAGGAGAATGCTTATCGAAACTCTGGCTGATGTGGATGATGAAATTGCCGAGCTTTTCCTTGACGAGAAAGAACCCACTCAAGAGCAGATCAAGGCTGCAATTCGACGTTCCACAATTGCCCTGAAATTTACGCCTGTCTTCATGGGATCGGCTCTCGCAGACAAGTCCATTCAACCCATGCTGGATGGGGTTTGCGATTATCTCCCGAACCCTTCTGAAATTGAGAATCTCGCCCTCGACCAAAAGAGAGAGGAAGCCCCTGTGAAGCTCGTCTCTTATAGATCTCTTCCATTCGTTGGTCTTGCCTTCAAGCTCGAGGAGAGCAACTATGGCCAACTTACATATATTCGTGTGTACCAAGGTACACTTCGCAAGGGTTCCAATGTCTTCAATGCTAGAAGCGGCAAGAGGATCAAGGTCCCGCGAATCGTACGCATGCATTCAAATGAGATGGAGGATGTTGATGAGATCCCGGCCGGTGAGATTTGCGCTGTGTTTGGCGTTGACTGTGCGTCCGGAGATAGCTTTACCGATGGCCAGCTTGCCTACAGCATGAGTTCCATGTTCGTACCGGAACCCGTCATTTCTTTGTCAATCCGGCCCAAGAACTCGAAAGACTCAGCCAACTTCTCCAAAGGTATCAACCGGTTCCAGCGCGAGGACCCCACCTTCCGTGTTCACTTTGACGAGGAGAGCGAGGAGACTATTATCTCTGGTATGGGTGAATTGCATCTGGAGGTTTATGTCGAGCGTCTGCGCAGAGAGTACCGCGTCGACTGTGTGACGGGTAAACCACAAGTCGCCTATCGCGAGACAATCGGCGACAAGACTGAATTCGACCACTTGCTCAAGAAACAAACCGGCGGTCCTGGAGACTTTGCCGGAGTTGTGGGTTGGCTGGAGCCGACTGGAAGCCTGGAGCAAAATAAATTTGAGCAGAGAATTGTCGGTGGTGCTATTTCCGAGAAATACATTTACGCTTGCGAGAAAGGTTTCGATCTCGCCTGTGAGAAGGGTCCTTTGACTGGACATAAGGTCCTTGGAACCCAAATGGTCATCGTCGACGGCTCCACTCACGTTACTGATTCCTCTGAAATGGCCTTCAAGATCGCCACTCAGCAAGCTTTCCGAAAGGCTTTCAAGGAAAGCAAGCCCCAGGTTCTCGAGCCGATGATGAAGACTGTTATCACAGCGCCAGTTGAATTCCAGGGCGATATCATTTCGCTGCTGAATAAACGCAATGCCGTTATCAATGATACTGACATTGGCGTTGATGAATTTACGGTATTTGCCGACTGCAGTTTGAACGGTATGTTCGGCTTCAGTACCCATCTTAGAGCTGCTACGCAAGGAAAGGGAGAGTATACCATGGAATTCAGCCATTACGAAAGGGCTCCAGGTCAACTACAGTAAGTTTTACACTATTCTTTTCCGTCCTTACTGCCCTGATTCCCCATTGCCGTTGGCAAGAATTCTGCAGAAGTTGTTTTTTGAGCTAACAACGTCTCCGTGTTTTATAGAAAACAACTCATTGCCGAATACGATGAAGCTCAGGCGGCGAGACACAAGAAATAAAAAGCCTGCAACCTTTCCATTCACACTCACCTTTCGACAAATGCTCCACTAGCATTGGCAGTCAACATGGTGCCCCTCACCTACCGTCTCTTCACAGAACCGCATGCATTCTCATGCACCATGCTCGCACATACCTGTCATTTGAGCAACTTCACTACTTTCTCGATAGATCTGCATTAGCATCTTTCCACTATAGAGCCCCGTCACAGACCGCTGTACTACTATTACTACCACTACTACTACTAATGTGAACTCACCTTCTCATTCCTATCTTGATCATGTAACAAAAGGGGGAAAATATTATGGGTAAAGTTTTTCATTTCGCGCAGGAGGGTGATTTTTTTCATGGCTCCCTTCTTGGGTTGTTGGGGTTTGGGTTGACTTGTCTGCGTCCAAATATTTAAACTCACAACGCAATTCATTGTAGAGATTTCTTCATTTTTTTTAGGTTGACTTCATGACAATCAGTTTTGTTTTATTATTGTTGGTAGCTTTTGTGAACGGGGAGTATAGATTTGGCTTTCGTTCTCGGCTTTTACTATTTTATGCCTTCCTTTGCTTGGGAGAGGAATTATACAACTATGTATCGAGAGTAAAAGTTACATTAGGCATAGAATGAACGACTTGAAATGGAAGGTCTATGTACGGAAACTAAAGCTATGTACTCTGTACACGGGCAACAAATATCACAACCACATGTCTAGCATCATCTATGGTCATCTAAAGAGTCGTAGCTCAGATAGATTTCACGTTGTACTGAATAGGCAAACCACACCCGTCAAATCATCTGATTGACTTGAAGGCGATTGGTGCAGGCGCGGTATGGCATATCTGGTGTTTGACCTTGAGGTTTCTTCTGAGCCCGTCTATTTCTCAAAAATCCGCATGATTGAAAGAGTAGCTGAACCCGTAGCTGCAACCTCATTATGTCCTGAAGTAGAAGCAAGAGATGGGACAGAACGAACCCGGTTAGCCATTTTCTCAAAACATTGAATATACGTATATATATAAATGGAAATTTCGGAGTGAACTCTTACCTCCATATCGGACCCTCTCCCACCGAACTCTTTTCACTCTCTTCTCACCATGCTGTGTGATAAATTCTTTTTCCCACACTTTCATCTGTACAACTTCGTCGTCGGACGTATATTCATGCACATACTTGCCTAAAGTATGAGCATTGGATCCTCCTATAATAGTATCATAGAGTGCCTGTCCATTTCGCCACGGGATTTCGAAGTCATTAACAGCATGTACCACGGTGAGGTCGAATCCTTGACTTCCATGTGCAGAATCCATATCACCAGGTTGAGGGTTGATGCCAGTGATCCGTGCGAAACGGGTGGCAGACTCCCATGTATCCACAATATGATCAAGGATATAGTTCTGAAACTTAGGATAGGGTAACAACGCTGAGAGCAGCGGGGGGAAGATTCCGCCGGCACTATACGAGCCTACCACAGTGCGGACGTTCGAGAAAGGGGCAAACACAATAACCCCTGCCAGCGGTTCCGGGACAGACGAGGGGTCACCGAAAGTGTATCGTTCCGCAACACCAGCTGCGACTGCAGTCCCCAGGCTTTGGCCTGCAACGACGATACGGGATGGGTGGATGGAAAGCGGGGGAGAGGTGAGATAGTTGAGCACCGAGAGCGCGTCGGTAATTAACCCTTCCTCAGTTGGCGATCCGGTGGAATTCCCGAAGCCGCGATAGTCGAACGCAATGACGTGCACAGGGTGTTTTGAAGTGGATGCTGCTAGGAAACTGCGGTATATTTGGGGGCGATATCCGGACCCGAGATGAGCGGCATTTCCGTGAACTACATGCGATCAAGGGGGGTCGAATTAATGATACTACACGATGCAGTTTTGATTGTGGGTGGGAAAATAAGGTGTGGAGTTCAACCCAGTTAGGATAGCATACGGTTTACAACGACTCTCGCATTTGGGTCTTGCGCGAGAAGCTTGAAAGCAGTGGTTTTGGTGATGTCTTCAGCAGGTCCTGATGAGGGGTTGGCAAGAAAAGCTGCTTCGCTTTCCTTGAATAACTGGGGCGGGATGATGTGCCATGCATAGAGGGTCTCATTATCTGGCGTTCGAATATTGAATGGCTGGACTTGGGATTCTGTGATTGTTAGGAAAAGTGAACCAATGAATCATAAGCCTGGTGAGGGCGTGGGCTAAACAATTCAGTACTTAGGAACCCAAAATACTCGACATCATTGACATCCTGGAAGTACGTAGGATTGAGCTTGTTCGCGTAGAGTACCCTGGCGGGCGAGAATTGGTGCATTAGAAGATGAGCAAAATGTGGAAAGACTCTTCCGCTAGCAACCTATCTATATTGGGTAGCATACGTTCGTTGAACAGATGGGTATGTCAACGAGAAGACACCAAGGACATATAACAGGCCCGAAAAAGCCAGTAGCCAGTAAGCCTTCTTGAAGATTGGGGCGAGTCCCATATTTAGATATGCTATAACAATAGTCAGTACATACATTGCCCAGTACTTAGAGATAGTGAGAACACTGTGCAAATGCGTGTACAAATTATACGAGAAACCGATGGTTAATTCAAGACCATAAGAGTGCTTGTGTGCCCGTCTGTTTCATCCCGGTTTCCAGTGCGTGCACAATCAACGCCGTGCCATGCCATGAACACCACAGAAAGCGACATATATATCGGAGTAGCTTGTAAATTAAGGGAGCTGGGGTAATTATAGAATTAATTATATAAAACAACACGTACCTGATATTGAATAAACGAGTAGCAAGACGCCGTTTTTAAGTTGCAATTAGACTGTTGAACTCGACGGAAAACAATAGAACGAGGAGCATGGTCACTTTAGCCGAATGTAATCTTTCTGTGAGGCTGGTGAGGTACGCTACCACATCGAATCCCCCCGAGCTACGTCCGCCAGAATTTGTTTCCACAGTGTCTTCGTTCTTCGTTCTTCGTTTCCCTTGCACAGTCGTTCGGGTGTTCTAAACTTCTACTTCGTTATATCGCGATAGACCGAGGCCAAAATCACGTGGAAAAAGTTCCCTGGTCACGTGAATACATACTCAACAATGATACCTCTATAGTCTGTAAGATAGGAGTGTGGCCACTCAGAGCATCCCATTTTCGTCGCTGTTTTAAGCTCAATGCTGTCCACATGATGTGAAACCTACACTGCTTTTATTTCAGTAACACACCTCACATCTCTTGTCAGCAGCCATTTTCCACATACATACTCAAGAGATAGTGATAGTCATGATGTTATATCTACAAGCTATTAATACTCAGCCTCTTTGTAGAACAGTGATGCTCTACTTCTTACAATGTATAAATTCAATGTCTTCTGCTTCTTTGAAGCATTTTCTTCATTCACTCTCAGTGATACTGTCTCTACTGTCTTCACATTCAGTTATTTACATTACTTCTTTTCAGTCTTCTTATACTAGTTACTTTCTTCACTTTCTTCTATTATTCAAATGACATGTTTTCTTCATGAACTTGCTTATAAAAGCTCTTCAAATCAATCAAGAAGAGCTGACATATCTGAAAGAAGATAGTTAAGAAGCTCATCTCAGATAAATACTGTGTGAGAGATATCATTAGATTAACTTGATTTCAGATCACAGATAAGAAATATACTGATACTATAATTATTATCATCAATTGTATTCAGTGCTTCTGAGATCAGTGAGTCTTATATATATTAAATTCATGATAAAATCTGCTGATATCTCTTGTGAAGACATTGTTTATTTATAAGAATTAATACACACTCTTATCTTTTCACATGTGTGAATAAGAACTTCTAAGTCTATACTAATTAAAGATTGAAAAATTTCAATATTATCAAACAGAGTATAATTTGAGTTAAATGAAAATTTCTTTGACTGCTCTTTAAAAGAGAGACAGATCAAAAGATGAATAAATTAATAAGTGAACTAATCAGTGTGTAAGAATAAGTACTCACAGGCAATTATTCAGGTGTTTACAGCTTGATGTGATATGTACTGTTAACTACTAGAAGTATTCACAGTAGAAAGATAAAATATAGAGATTAAATATATATTAGCATTTAAGCTGAGTTATGAATAGTATTCATGAACTTCAGTCTATATAGTTGTGTGTAGTCAAGAGCTGCTAACTCTATTAATTATATAAGAGATAGAAATAGAGATAAAGAATTCATAAGAAGTGAGATTTCTTACATACTTCTCTCTCTCTAAGGCTTTATCTGTGAAGCCTTTCACTGAGTAACTTCATAGAATCAGCTCAGCACTGCAGTGATACTCACTAAAAATTCTTCATATCTGTAAAAAAAATCTCAGTGAGAAAAAATCTCTTATTACTATAAAGAGAAAAGAGTCTGTTACTCAGTTTCTTATTCTGTGAGATTCTTTATAATCTACAGATTCTTCTCTGACTATTATATAGATTCATCTCATACCTTCTATACAGAAGAGTTTTAATTAACTCTTAATTATTTTCATAAGATTCTTGTGTGATTATTATACAGCTTCATCTCATAGATGAATCACTCTCTGTAAGATTATTCTCATTAAAGAGAAGCATTTATAAGTTAATCTTTTACTTATTCTTATAAATCATTGTTCTTTGATACTGTAGAATTATGAGGAATTTTTCATTCTTTTATCAACTCTGTAGAATTGTAGAATCAAGATATCTACAGTCTGTAATCACTCTTTATAGTTATATAGAAAGATTCAGATCTGCAATTCATAATTACTCTTATTTATTAGAGTAATCTGACTATTCTGCAGAATTACTCACAGTGTAAGTAAATCTCTCTAGAGTAGTATAAATATCTCAGATCTGTTTATAGAATTTTATCTTCTTTTTTCTTTTTCTATAACAGCTTTTATTCTTATAAACTGTGAGTATTCTTATTCATCTGCAAAGTATTTTTATTCAGATAATAGAGAGAGAGTATTTCTGACAATGTCTGTATATTAATTCAAGAACTTCTTAAGAATAAAAATTTTTCAATTTCAATATCTTCACAAATAATATCTAATTATTATCAAGCTTTTTATAAGTATTTCTGTGACTTCTCTAATCACTTTTTACTGACTGATGAAGCAGAGATATTATTACTTATAACAGTGTCTTTATCTCTCTCAGTCTCATCACTGCATCTGATCTTCAGACTAGTAGTTAATTTCATGTCTTTCTCAGACTAGTCTCTGACTCTAAGTAGTGTAGTTTCTCTCTTTACTGTAAGTCTTCTTATAAGTAATTTCTTACAGATTCTAGCTGATAGTTCTTAAAAAGCTCTCAGTGTTATCAGTGTCTTCTGCAGCTTCATAGGTCTATAATCACTTCTCTTCAGTCTGCACAATCTCTGATCAGATATATGCAAATATATCTAGATTCTCTATCAATAATTCTCATACTGCAGTGTATTTTCACAATCTCATTATCAATGAGAGATAAGTCTCTGAGTACCTGTAAAATCTGAGTAATCAAGACAATGTAAATACTATAAATTTATAATAGAAGTTAATCTGAGCAGATAAGCTCTCTCTCTGCATCTTAATAGTTTTCAGACTGAATACTTCAGTATAACTAAGAAAGCAGACACAGCTTCATGAAAAGTATCTGATTATATACATAGATAATCAGCTCTCAAGATTCTGCTACAACTGTATACATTTTAATATTCAGCTTCTCTGAAGTCTGTGTATTTCTGATAATCTTCATGTCAAATGTAATAATTATCTGTACTGCAGATATAATACTCTCTGCTTCTTTGAAGAGAAAAATTGATAGTTATAAGAGAGTTAAGTGTTACAGATATTAAGAATGTGAGTATAAATTTTCTTTATTTTTTCTTTATTAATCTCTAAATTGTGTTCATGACTCTGTTTTTATTTTCTTATTTTTTAGCTTTAATAAGAGTATGATTTCTTCTTCTCTTATATACACTGCAGACTGTTCATCTCAGTAGAAATTCATTATCTTATAAATTAGAGTTTGTAAATGACAGTGTTAATATCTTTATTATAATCAGATTCTTAGTGAAGACTGCATTATTCTGACTTATCAGAATTTATAGTATGAAAGTCATGTCTCAGCTTCTGCAGATGTCTTATCTGCTTGAATGATTCTCAAGTGAACTTATTTATCTTATCAGAATATTCTTATCACTGAATCTTGAATCAGAGCTTGTAATCTCACTTCTCTGAGTTAATAATCTCTTTGATCTGATATTCTCTTTCACTCTCTAGTATTTTGTGAACAGAGTAATGAGTCATAGAATTCTCTTCTGAAAATTTCTTATATTCACAGAGTAAAGAGATATGAAAAACATTATATATCTATAACTCAGATAACAGTTTTAATCTGTAGAATTATAAGCTAACTTTCTCTATAATCTTATAAGACTCTGTTTATAAGAGATTCAGCTTCTTACTAGATCTCTATATAATAATATTTTCTAGACTCAGTCAGACTCTATCATCTTTCTTGAAACTCTTTATAATATACTTGAAGTCATAGTATCTCTTCTAATACTCTTAAGTCTTTCTCAAGAATTCATGAGCTTTCTTCTGAATCTTCTGAATTCTCTCAGCTCATTTATAAGTATCATCACACTCTATAGTGAACTCTTACAGATTTATCAAGATTATTCACAGATAAGTCTCAGTAAGTATCTTAAAGAGAGTTTTATCTATGCTGATATACTTTAAGTTGTTATAAACAAACTCTATGAGTGATAATTAATACATTCAGTTATTCTGATTATAATTGATAAAGTATTATAGATACTGTTTTAATATACTTATTAAATATTCTATCTGATCATCTGTCTGTTAATAAAAAGCTGTGCTTAGATCTCACAAGATCTTCAGTATAGTTATCAGATTAGATCAGAACTCTTCTATAAAAATTAATTCTCTATCTAAGACAATGTTTGCAGATAATTTATACAATCAGATCATATTATAGATGAAGATATGAGTTAAATTCTTTAACTTTAAGTTCTTACAGATGAGTATAAAGTGTGTTATCTTGATAAAGTGATTCACTATTATCAGCACACTGTCAAAGCAGGCATTATATATGTTCTTACTTTCAGAGAGACTTATAAGAGCATTCATTTCTAGCTATTCTCAAGATTTTCATAGAATGAGTAGAGAAGTAAGTTCTTTATATAATCTGAACTATACTATCTATAAATTCTGATAAACAGTATAAGAATTTACTATCTTCTTCATAAGTTCTTGCATTTTTAATCAGAAGTATTTTCTTATAAGCAACTTATAAGTTCTAGTATCTGTAAAATAACCTGCTAGAGAAGAGTCATGATACCTTTTAATAAGTTCTATGTATAAAAACTTATTCATAGATATATAAATCTGACTCTTTCTTTACAAGAGACTATTTAAGTCTCTTTAATTCTTTATTGTTGTAGAATTGATTTCTGCTGTGAGCAGTTTCTGAATATACTGAGTATATTCATTCTTCAGTTATAGTTCAGATAATCTGAATAGAAGATTTTATAAAGACTTATACTCTGTTTTCTCTTACACTAGATCTTTTATAATACTTCTCAAAGTCTGTAAATTCTTCAGATTATAGATACTCTCTTCAAGAATTCTTGCAGAGATTCTTAAAGTGTTAACTCTCAGTATTATAGAGAGTAGTTATACAGACTTCTTTTCTTTCTCTTCTCTCTTCTCTTATAGAGAATTGAGAGACTCTTTAGTTAATCTCTTTATAATACTCAGTTTAAGTATATGAAGCTTTTCTGTCTTCTCTAGTCTCTCTGTATCTATCACTCTGATCTTCTTAATATAGTCTGATCTGTGAGAGAGTTCATCTGCTGAGTTCTTAGTTCTCTTGATATATTCTATTTTAAATCAGAACTCACTCAGTCTCTGAGTTCAGTGAATCTACTGCTGTGAGAGTTTCTTGATTAAAGTAAACTATTATAAGCTGTTATAATCAGTTCTAACAGTAATCACTGTT